TCAGGGGAGCGCTTCGCACTCACCGGACCGGGCGGGGGGTTCTCTCTTCTGCGCCCCCAGGCTGAGTACCACAGGAGGTTTGGCAAGATTTTCCGCATGAAGCTGGGGGCTTTCGACTCGGTGCACATCGCAGCCCCCTGCCTCCTGGAAGCCCTGTACCGCCGGGAAAGTTCCTGCCCTCAGCGCCTGGAGATCAAACCCTGGAAAGCCTATCGGGACTATCGCGACGAAGGCTACGGGCTGCTGATCCTGTAAGTGGCCGCGGGGAAGGTGCAGGGAGGGCCGGTTACCGCCGAGAAGCGGCTGCGGCGTCAAGTTTGGGGCCGTCGGTGCGATGAAGGCGCTGCCGGAGGGGTCTCGTTGCACATGCCGCGGGTTTGATGGCTTTTTTTTTCTTCTTTAAGCCTTTCTCTTTTCAGCCTCGCTGTTTTTAATTCAATCTAGGGAAGGAAAGGACTGGCAGAGGGTAAGAAGTGCCTTTCAAAAGAAATTAATGAAACCCAGGGAAGTTGCGAAACTGGATACTGCGATCAATGAGGTACTGTGTGCTTTGAGAAACTCTTTCCCTATCCCCACTCCCCTGGAAACCTGGGAAATAAAAGCAGATCAAATGATCCGGTTTGCCTGCATAGCTGTCGATTTGCTCTACAGTGGTAAAACCATGAGTTCATACTCTTGAAATCATTCAGGGAATAGTAAGTACAAACTGATTATCAGGGTCTGACCAAAAGGGAGACCACACAGAAACCTGTAGTTGAGATTGCCCGTCCTCCCAGAACAATAAGATTATTCCACAATGATACGGGCTCCTGCAAACAGAGTTTTTACTTACTTTTCTTGCATTTAGTGGTTTTTGCCCTTACCCCCTATTCTTATGTTCCTCCCGTCAAGGAACACCTCCCTTTTTAATGTCTGTGTTCCTCACTGAGTTTGAGGAGCATCAGTGATAAACAGCTTTATCCTATTTATTGTGGAAGCTCCAGTATTATCCCAGCATCAGACTGAAGCATTTCATCCCTGTGGAGGAAAGCTCAGCTCGTCAAAGTACAAGCAGTAATAACATGACAGTTGTGTAAAATACAAGCATACGTTAACACAGGGAAATCGAATCTTGCTTAAAGAGCAGGAAACAGGAGTACTCCTCTCTCACGCGAAATTGTTATCTATTTAAAAGACAGCTGAAATGCTAAATTACACAGGATTTTTATTAGTTGAAGTCATTTTATTCCCTGCTTTTCTCTCTCTTCTCTCAACTGCTTAGGTCCTGGAGGACTTCATGTACAGAATAGATGATGTTTGTAACCACAATGGACAAATGGAAGATGTCTATTCAGAATTCAACAAATGGTCATTTGAAAGTAAGTTGTTTTTTCCCTGAGAATGGTATGTGTTTTGTACCTGCCATGGCATTTCAGTTAAAGTAGGATCAGTGATGAATGTGTAGGCTGATTATTTCCAAACTATCAGCCACAATATCATGGAAAGTGGGTTGCAGAAAAGCCAGGGGACTATCAGTAAAAGTGCAAAATTCAGCAGCAACTATACAAACTCTTCTGTCTGGTTATCTATGTGGCTTGTAAAAAAAATTCAAACATTATAGTGACTTATAAATCCAAAACTTGGGGGAATCACAGCACGTTTATCTAGAGCAGGATCAGATAACACATGACCGGTTTTGTCCATCTGATATTTGTTACTTATCAGCAGCAGAAGATCAATGAAATGATCCAATAACAGTGAAGAAGTATTTGTTTTAGACAATAGTTGGAAAATCCCACTTAAGATGTTTAGTTTACATTGGGGTTGAGAAGCACTGGAATAAGTTACCGACACAGGAGCCTCCATCTTTAGAAACCTTTCAGAGTACACTAAGGAACCATCTGCCAGGAATGACTTAGGGCAGAAGAAACTGCATCAGTGGTTCCCAAGAGGAGGGATGGTTGGGTATAGCGCATAACTGAACGAGCTCTGCCAGACGTGTCTGCTCATGGCTGGCTCATCTCGGCAACCTGTGTATTGAGTTCCTGAAAGTGGGGTTTTTTTCTTCCACTGTCAGTGGTGATGGC